TTCGCCCCTTCCCAAAATTACTTCAACGGAAGGTTTCCAGATGGATATGCGGAGCAAATCCATCTGGCGGAGTCAGGTTAGGGACTCAGGTTTCAGCTTTCAAAAACCTACAATGCAGCAAATGAGTTGAATTCTTCCCGCTATCATCACAGCCCCCACCCCTTTTCAGGAGAACAGAAGACCTCACCTCTTGGGCCGGGCCAACAATTCCCTCTAACAAACCCCCTTTCAGAGATATAGACCAGTATCGGATATTACAAGCTAACGAAGAACCCAAACGACTGCCCATTCTTAAGGAGCGGACCCGTTCTTCCTGTTCAATTTGCATGTTTTCTAAGCCGAAACAAGGCTTTGGTTTTGGTCCACTCTATAAATCCTGGAACTCAACGCTATTTCTGACATTTTGAAATGAAAAAGCTTCCTGGATGGAAGAGAAACGTCTTCAAACTTGGAAACTAAGTCCAGCTGATGATTGTTTTTTAACTTTCATGTAATAAACAGGTTATATATTTTTAGAAATGTTGGGTATTCATTTCATACTCATAGTTTTTGCCCATTTCGGCTACTGCATTTGCGTCACTTTTTGCCAAATATTAAACGCCTGCAGAAAATGGTCGAAATTGCAACACAAGATTAAGCATGTCTTTAATTTATTTGATAAATAAGAGGATTGATTTTTCTAATTTTAGTTTAGGAGTTTTCTAAAAGTTAAAAACATGGATCACTTCTTAATCGTTCAATCTTTCCGTGTTATTTGGAGCTTTTCCTTTAAAGAAAAGTAAAACACAAGTCAAATAAAGCCTAAAGAACCAATTTTAGTTGTAATCTTTAATGTCTGACTGTTTCACAAGGATTTATATTTATTAAAGTTTCAACTGGAAAAAAGAAAGGAATCTAAGGGGATTGTAAAGAAAACCTCTGAAGGATCCCAGCCTTTTGGAACCATCAGAAAGGATGAAGTTGAACCCAGTCTGTTAATTAGGACAAAATTTATGAAAAACAACTTGTGAAACCTGACCGACACCAAATGAGGCATGCATAAGGTCGTGTCAGGTCTTCAGTGGCTTTAATGGCTACTCTAGCACATGACTCCCAGAGACCGCCTCTCTGTTGTAGGTCACGGTGAACGCTATATGTCATGCTTCTGTTTTTAGCTCAATTTTAGGTTTGTAAAACCAGGGGAAAAAAAGTTTCTCTGATCTTTAAACAGAAACTGGGACTAAATACAAACCATCTCCATTGGTTTTGTGCAGCTGAGCTGGATTAATCTGCTGGTAACCGAAAAATTAACAAATTTAATTATATTTATTTAGTTTGAACTCAACAGTGCCCCCTACAGAATATATATAAAACAAAGACAATAACAGAATGACAGAAAATAAAATCAAATAGCAATGCCTGGTTGTGTTAATCTACAACAGGGATACAGTGGGACTGATTAATTAGAAACGGGTCATTATAACTGATGAGTCTGACCCCGCCCTTATGCTACATTCAGACTGCAAGCAGCAGAAGCAGCTAGTTTAGATGCAAAGTCA